AATTCAAGCTAATGGGGGATATATCGAATAATTATGCTCTATAGGGATCCCCCAAGTGCCATGTAAAAGGATTTTTTTTAATATTTAATTTTTCAACAAAAACATTTTGTTTAAAGAAATTGTTCGATTTGTCCGGATTTTGGTGCCGCACCCTGTAAAGTACTTAATAGGACGTATATTTTTTATTTTATTAATGTTTTGTTTGGTAATTATCCATTTTATCTTTTTGTCTATTCTTGCTAATTCATCATTATACATGTGTGTGAACATTACCTTTTGTCTGTGAAAAAATGGATCTGTAATATGTCTAGGAATGTATGCCAAAATCTTTCTCATGAGATACATTGATTGTCTTTTTGAATAATGAATCCTTTTATGTGCATCATTTACTTCTAAATTGATTATCCGTTTGATGTACAACAGTTTAGAACAATTCAATTTGTAAATCGTTTTGTGATGATTAAGGTTAAGTTCATGATTATAAATGTTGTGGAATAATACTTTCTTGTAAACAAATTTTTTAAAAATATAACCTAATGGTGTTTTTGACAATATTCTTCTGATGTTTAGACCATGATTTTAAAAAACTAAGTGCGATAAGACCAAAGGTCCTGTATATAAAGTTAAAAAACGACAATTGTTGACGACGCATTGTTTCAGCCAGCGTATAAAATTAAATTCGAAATATAACTCTCAAAAATGTCAAATTAGGATTAATATATAATAAACAAGGCTATGAGAGTCAATACTGCGTTAGAATTGCAGGAAATTAATCAATTATGTGTCGATACTTATAAAAATTGTTTAATTAAGACAGACGTTTCGGCCTACTTCCGGCCCATCTTCAGTATACAGAGATCGTCGACAGCACTTCCATCCGAACCAACGAGTTATCGTTCACCTTATATTCATAGTTGGAACAAGATTCGTAGGTCTTGTGGCCAGATTGAATCGAAGGATACTACACAATTGACCATACTCATAAAGTTAACAAATTAAAGAATTTTTAGATTACAAAGTGAATCCATGTTAAAGATGAATAAAAACTCACCCGTTCGAACGTGAAAGTTTCAAATAAATTAATACACAATATATTCATGGAAATGTAGAAGTTGTCACAATGGTTTAAATTACTTCTAAGCGAATCGACAGTTCGTTTTACAGACGACGTATATCTGAAATGTTGTATATAAAGTTGCAAAAAACAGTCTCAATCTACAATCTGACACAGATTTTTTTACATGAATCGTGCTCATTCTCGAACAATTTTGATTGTGCTACTTCTTCGTTAAATAATTTCAAAAATAAATGGTTCATTAATTTGACCTCCATTAACATTCCCAAGACAGTTTGTTGCTTATTACAGTTAGGGGAGAATTTTTCATTACCACCATTCAATTACAAAAGAACAACTTTAGAATATATAAAGTACATTGAAAATAGCATTAATCAGGTACACGTCAGTCTTAGGTCTGAGATTAGAAATAGGATTATACCAATCGTGAACGGTCTTTCCACATGCATTAACCATACGGATAGATTAAAGAATAAATTACAGTCAATGTGGACGATGACTAGGACTTTCTTACAACAGAATAAAAATATTATCCTTACAAGAGCTGATAAAGGTAACGTGACGGTGGCAATGGATATCAATGAGTACAAACAAAAAAATGTTGATGTTACTTAACGATAACAGCACATATGAAATTATTCATAAGAATCCGGTTATTAGTCTGACTAGGAAACTAAGGATACTTTTGACAAGTTGGAAGAAAAAAGAATATATTTCACAACTAGATTATAACCATCTTTATGTGAGTGATGGGGTTCTTCCTGGTGTGTATGGATTACCCAAAATCCATAAAGTAGACATACCCCTTAGAATAATAGTTTCGGCTATTGACAGCACATTGTATCCATTGGCATCTTTTTTGCATGAAATTATTTCTAAAGTCAGTTGCAATGCTCCAAGTTACATAGGAAACAGTTTTCAATTAACAAAAAAGATAAACAACATTTCTCTCGATAACAACGAAATTTTGGTTTCTCTAGATGTCGTGTCACTTTTCACGAATATACCTACAGACTCAGCTCTTGATAGTATCAACCATAGATGGGATTCGATTTCAAAAATAACTAATATTCCCAAAAACGAATTTTTGATAGCTGTGAAACTCGTTTTTGAGTCAGCATATTTTTCATTTGATAACACTATATATCGACAAAAGTTCGGCATGCCGATGGGATCACCTTTATCACCCGTGATCGCGGACATAGTACTTCAGGATTTGGAGGAGAGAGCCTTGAACACTTTGGGAATTCATCTTCCGTTTTATGTAAGATATGTCGATGATGTTGCTTTAGCAGCACCAAAAGAAAAAACGACAGAGATCCTCAGGGTGTTTAATTCTTTTCATCCACGACTACAATTCACCATGGAAATTGGTGGCTTGACGTTAAATTTTTTGGATTTGACGTTGATTAAATTCAATGGAGGAATTGAATATGATTGGTATCATAAACCTACTTTCTCTGGTAGGTACATAAATTTTATGTCTCAACATCCTCTTTCTCAAAAAATGGGTACGATTATGGGTCTGGTAGATAGAGCATTTCTTTTGTCTGTTCCAAAATTCCACAAAAAGAATTTAATATTTGTTATAGAAACTTTACTTTGTAATGACTATCCGTTAGATATTATTTTTAACACAATTAATGACAGGTTGAAATCATTAGTGAATAAAAAAACCGCTAATCAACAAAATACTGACACAATTATGAATAATGTTGAAGAGATAAAAACATGGTTCATTATACCATATATCAGAAAGATGACAGATAGGTTTACAGAAATAGCCAAAAATTTGAGTGTTAAATTGGCGATTTGCAGTCTGAATAAACTTAACTGTTTTATTAAAGCGCAGAAAGATTGCCTGACCACTTTCCATAAAAGGAACGTGATTTATAAAATTAATTGCAATGACTGTGATGCGTCTTATGTTGGCCAAACTAAGCGCACATTAGGAGTAAGAATCAAAGAACACAAGAATGACATCCGTAAACGCAATGGTAATCTTTCTGTTCTCAGTGAACACCGATTAAATTTGAACCATGATTTTGATTGGGAGGATGTCAAAATTATGGATACTGAAAGATGGTTTTACAGACGACGTATATCTGAAATGTTGTATATAAAGTTGCAAAAAAACAGCCTCAATCTACAATCTGACACAGATTTTTTACATGAATCGTATATGCCCATTCTCGAACAATTGCGATAATTACATTTGTATTTAATTGTATTGTATTACATTCAATTTATTGTAACGAATAAGGCTCATTTACTTCTGATCTTGGGTGTTCATGACTGTGCAATTGTATTACTCACGTAATTTCTAAATCATTATTCTTGTTTTACATTTATAATCGCACAGCCATTCGTTTCTCTAAAACATTATTCCAAAGAAATTAAAATAAGACTTGAAGTATGTATTTATTATGCTTGTAATTTGTATACATTATTTGACTTTGCTATTCTCAATTGACTGCGAACTGTCGACTCGCTTAGACGTAATTTAAACCATTGTGACAACTTCTACATTTCCATGCATATATTGTGTATTAATTTATTTGAAACTTTCACATTCGAACGGGTGAGTTTTTATTCATCTTTAACATGGATTCACTTTGTAATCTAAAAATTCTTTAATTTGTTAACTTTATGATTATGGTCAATTGTGTAGTATCTTTCGATTCAATCTGGCCACAAGACCTACGAATCTTGTTCCAACTATGAATATAAGGTGAACGATAACTCGTTGGTTCGGATGGAAGTGCTATCGACGATCTCTGTATACTGAAGATGGCCCGGAAGTAGGCTGAAACGTCTGTCTTAATTAAACAATTTTTGTAAGTATCGACACATAATTGATTAATTTCCTGCAATTCTAACGCAGTGTATTGACTCTCATAGCCTTATTTATTATATATTAATCCTAATTTGACATTTTTGAGAGTTCTATTTCGAATTTAATTTTTTTATTTAATCGCGATGTTTCGAGTTATTTGGCTGTCTAAGTTAAAATGGATTACCCTGTATATATTTGAATGTACAGATCCAAAATCTGCAATAAAATATGCGAATGGCAGATAAGTGGTACACTACTAGGACTCCGGGTGAAGGTCATAATTAACAAAAACACAGGGAATGGAAGTAACTCGTTACTTGTAACGAAGTTACAGTTACAAGTTACTTTTTTGGTAACTTTACTGGTAACTGCGTTACTTTTTTTCTTTGGTAACTGTAACGATAACGAAGTTACATTTCTTTGATAACGGTAACGAATTTTACAGTTACTTTTATCGTTACTTTGCACATGATTGGACACGATACGACACAAGCTATTTACACTGTAAAAAAATTTCGTAAATTTACACATATAATAAATGTAAAATAGATTACATGATTAGTTCTGTAAATATAAAAGATCATGCAATTTTACAGAAATTATGTAATTCCACAAAAATTATGTAAATTTGTTTTTATTGTGTAATTTTGTAATTATACTTCCACAATCTGCTTAGTTCCAAACCAAGAAATTATTTTTATTTGCATATTGCAAATTTACAAATGTGTGGACGTTTACAACTATTATGGTGAATCTCAAAATTATCCAGCATAATAGTTGTAATTTTAAACAATTTTTTACAATGCGCTTGAGACTAGAGAAGCCTCTAGGCTCGTCCGCTGCGATTGTTGGAAATTTAAAAAAAAATAACGGAAAAGTAACGAAAAGTTACTTTCTCAAGTAACGGTAACTGTAACGAGTTACTTTTAAAAATCGGTAACTAGTAACGGTAACTTGTTACTTTTTCTATTCGGTAACGAGTAACTGTAACTTGTTACTTTTAAAAAGTAACTTTCCATTCCCTGCAAAAACATAACACCCCGTTAGCAAAACCTACAAGGTGGTCTTGTCAAAAATTTGCCATTAGACATTCAATTATCCGTGTATATCTTTAGATATATGTTTATTGTCTCTGAAGCTGCCGTTCTGATCAGTGTCCTGGAGATTGTGCTGTCCCGGAAGCTACCATTCTATTCAATGTCCTGGAAAGTGTGTTGTTCCGGAATCTGCCATTTCGTGAATGTCCTGAAAAATGTATTGTCCCGAACCTGCCTTTCCGTCAATATCCTGGAAAATACGTTGTCTTGGAACCTGTCATTCCATGAATATCCTGGAAAAATATGATGTCCCGAAACCTGCCATTCTGTGAAAGTCCTGGAAAATATACTGTCCCTGAACCTGCCATTCCGTGAATGTCCTGGAAAAATATGTTGTCCCGGATCCTGCCATTTAATCAATTCTTCTGTATACATTTGTTGCCCCGGAACATGCCATTCCGTGAACGTCCTGGAAAAATATATTGTCCCAGAACCTGCTAGTCTGTGAATGTCCTGGGAACATATGTTGTCCCGGAACCTGCCAATCTATCAATATCCTGGAAGAATATGTGCCCTAGAATCTGCCAATATGTGAGTGTCCTGGAAACTGCCAAATTCGTTTTTTTTCGAAAACGAGTAAAAATAAATTAATTTTACTTGAATGGAAGGCAGAAAACAACAAAAGAGGCTTTATAAAACTGTTTTTAACTAATTCTATTTTCGGTCCCGGAAGCTGCCCTTGGACATACATATATATATATATACAGGGTGTTTCTTAAAAACCGCCCACTAACCACATAGCACTAGCCTTGATAAAAAATTGAGTCGATAAGTATTAGGAAATTTTTTTCCACAGCACTTACTGAAGCAGTTATTATGTAGTAAAGATAATCCAATCGACGCGCCGTGCTTTAAACTGACGCACGTCCATGATTCGCGCGCCTAGTAGTATGTGTGAGCGCTCCGTCACGCTGCTGACTTCGCCGCGTTCTGTCACGCTGCTGATTTCTCAAAGACCGCTAATAATGACATGCATAAGCCATTTTATTTTGTAACAACATAAAACTGTTAACAATTAATTAAAATTGCGCTAACTGATATAAAAATAATTACTATTATGTGTTGACAATAATTTTAATTTTTAATTAATTTAATTACTATGTTTGTCATGTCCGGGGCGCTATCAGTTCGTCCGGACGCGGGGCTGTGCGGGTCCGGTAAAGACAGCCTGGCGCTTCCTGCGCTGAGCGGAAGCGTCGAATTAGGAGAGAGAGAAGAAAAAAAATAATTATATTCTAGATAGTCGAATTTAAGCAGTGTACCGGCTTAGGGAACGCTTTATTCAGTTCGGCAATGTACAAAGTTTCGGCAGGTCCAGTATTGCTCCGTCACTGTCTCGATGCTCGTTACGAGCGGTTGCGACCTCGTGGGTAACGGTTCGCAAGCGACAGTGGAGTGAGATGTAGGCTAAGCGGTAGGGGGCTCATCGTGAGCCCTTGCTCTCCGCTTGGAAGGCGGCCGGGGCTCGGCTTGAGCCACCGACGACCGATGCTAGGAAGCCTCGGCGGCCGTGAGAGGGACCTGCCGAAACGGTAACCTCAGGAGGTCTTAGCGGTTCTGAGAGGAACCGGGGAGGTCGGATATGGTCAGGACGCCTCGGCGGTTCTAAGAGGAGCCTACTAAGGCGGGGTTAGGAAGTCGCCCCTGCTACCGGGACACCGTGGTATGGACCTGTCTCCCCAGAGTGAAGGAAGCCTGGCGCGGTTTTCATGCACCCCGGCGCGCGAGGTTTCCCTCTCTGGATTCTCGCGGAATAATTAAAATATTCGTAAACGCGGACGGCACAGGACAGACACTAACAAGAAGGCACTTCCCGCCGACTAGAGTGTATACGCAAGAAAAGGAAAGAAATGAAAAGAAAAAAAAAACGAAGTCAAAATAATGAGCGAAAGATTTACTATGCGATTGGCAACTTTGATACACAAAAAAAAATATTTTACAATTATCCATCACTCTCCACCTTTTACGCCTTTACACAGATAGTTTATTCGCGGTAGATTCACATAAATGGGTCACAGAATAATTAGCGGGATTATTGATACGCTAATGACGGTCGCGATGGCGCGAGTTTCCTTAATAAAAAAAAACTGACCGACGGAAGTGCGACGCAAAACTCACTTTGGTCCGGGATACTTCTCGGCTAGTTGTTGGCGATGCCTGTCCACCAAGCATGGCCCCAGAAGTTCGCTAATGCACGCACCACGGAGTACAGTCGCAAGGCGGACCCTTCGCAGCTAATGTTTTCACTAAAATTTCGCAACTTCTGTGAACTGTTTCAGAGCTTTCCGGGGAATTTTCGCGAAATCTCTGGCGACTTTTCGCGAACTCTCTGGGCTCGCGCCGGGTGTCGCTTATATAATATTGCAAGGGGTGATGCTGAGCGGCAAAGGGGGTTGACCTGTCAACAGTCATGTTAGATTTTTAAATTATTCTAGAACATTCTATCAGATTCGATTTTGTTGATTTGACCGTCTTAAAGGTTGAAATTTTTAGGTCTGAGTGTTGACAGGGCCCACTTATGGGCTCCGCCCCTGTACTGCATAGCAGTTGCGGCGCGCGCTTATTCACAATGAGCTGCGATCCCTAGTTTTTCTAAACGGAGTTGTTAGCATGGCGCGCTCGCTCTTGTTCTTGCCAACGGTTATTACAACGATTTTCGTTTCGTTGATTGGAAGGATTTAGTGCGCTAGCAGCTGGGATTTCGTCAAGTACTTTTGATCATAAGCGCGGTGCGAGATGTTAAATGAGACGGTGTCGTCATTTTCGCGGATGCATTTGCAGATTTTAAATAAAATGCAATTTTTAATTTTTCTTATCTATTTACGCTGGATCAAGGGTACCCGAGGAACCTCAAGGTTTCCAACTGCTTGGATTTTAAGTTTTGCTGTCTGTAGTTTCGTTACAGCTACCGCATTAATTTGATTTTCGTACAATTAATTCTTGTCGCTCAAGCGCACCGCGTTCCGGTGCGGCGGTTGCTCCATCATGCGGGAAGCGAGTGATCGCGGTTCCCGATTGTGCCGCACTTTCGCATCGATTCGCATTGTCACGGCAACGTATTGGCGTCGCCGATCGTGACGTTCGCCACGTGCGAGTTTTCAGGCGAACGTTACAATGTTACAACATAATTTTAACGCGGTGATTAAGGATTTGAGTTCTTTAATATTGGTTGAAGAATATTGTTAGATCCCATTAAAATCTAAAATAGTTTGCATTTTATTATTCGGGATTGTAACAGTACTATAAAATTCAAATTCCTTTATCCAGAATTAAAAT